GGGAGGAGGGTAGGGAGGGGGGAGGGAGGGAGGGAGGGAGGGAGGTAGGGAGGGGGGAAAAAAGGGGAGGGAGGGAGGGAGGGAGGAGGGGAGGGAGGGAGGGAGGGAGGGAGGGAGGAGGAGGAGGAGGAGGAGGAAGAAGAAGAAGAAGAAGGAGGAGGAGGAGGGGGAGGAGGAGGACGAGGAGGACGAGGAGGACGAGGAGGACGAGGACGAGGAGGAGGTGGAGGAGGAGGAGGACACCAACGCCGACGACGACGACGACGACGACGACGACGACGACGACGACGACGACGACCTTCCCCCCCCCCGCTCGGCTCCGATGCTCGGCTGCCTCTGCCAGCGGGCCCTGGGCGGCCCCTCGGAGCCAAGCTCGGGGGGGGGCCCAGGCCCCCTCGGGTCACGAGAAAAGCACGACGCCCTGAGGCCTCAGCGCTGCAAAAGTTTACCACACCGGGCGCTTACGGCCGGCGGCGGGCCCCCTGGGGACCCTCACAGATCGATCCGGCTCGAATAGCGACGCAGGAAGAGGGGTTCCAGAGCTCCGGGCGTGATTTTCCGCGATGCTGCGAATGTCTCGCAGCTTCGGCTCTCAGGGACGGGAGGCTTATCGCTATCTTTTCGGACTCCAGGGGCCCTCGCCAGGCCCGGGACTGTCAAAAGTCGACCGTCGGGATGAAAAGTCAAGCCCGGAGAGCGGAGCAAGGTCTTTGGGGGGTCGACGTCATGAAAAAATCGTGACCCGAGGAGTCGTTCCAGAACTCAGCCACGCGCAGAGCGGGGTGGGGGAGGGGGAGGGCTTCTTAGAAGAACCCCTGCTTCTTGGAAGGCACGGGCTTGACCTATAGATGTATGGCCAGCGCCTTCTAAGAAGCAGCCTCCTTCTAAGAAGCCCTCCCCCCTCCCTTCACCCCCTTGTGCGCACCGCCATAGAACACTCTCGGAGCCTTCTGGAGCGTTCTGGGAAGGCCGCGGCGCCCGATACGTCCTCCAGAGCCGCCAGATTTCAGAGATCCTCGATTTATCCTGTCGGGTGTAGTCCCTGTGCGGGCATCGTCTCGGGGGTACCGATAGCCGATGCCCGTCCCCTCGCCCCCCCGTCGCCACGACGGGACTCGCCTCGGTCCTGATCAGAACGCGCCCCAGGAGAGGTCTGGGGAGTGGCGGTGTCGGTATTTCTCTCGTCCCCCCACAAGCGGCACACGAAAGTCGTGCTGGCCGCTACGATCGAAACGGGTACAAGGCGAGAGTGGAGAGGAAGGCCAACAGCAGTTGCTCCCCAACAGCAGTTTGCCGGCGTGCAAGCATTCTGCTGCGCCACCGCCTTGCGGCGGCCCTGTTGTGCACGCGGGTGGGAGTCGAGTTTGGCTTGGTCCTGGATGGAGAATAAGAAAAAATAACAAAATGATAATAAAACAAAAAAAACTGAGAAGGACGTCGGTATCGCCGCGGACGTCGTCCATTTGTCCATTGTGGCAGAAACTCGGCGGCCTTCGGCGGCCCCTTCGGGCACGTGTGTGATCTGCGTCGAGCTGGATCCAGCAAGCGGTCGGCTCACGGCGGGGCGCGTCGGACGTGAACAGCGCACAGGAGCAGGAAGCAGGAGCGGAGATGGGGGTACACTCTAGGCGATGCTTAAGAAAACCCAAGTTTTCGGCCAGAGTCTCGATTACTCTTCATGTTTCGATGTAAATCCTAAGATTTGAATAGGCATTCTGGGTTTTTCTTCCAATTCTGAGATTGTGAATTTCTTAACCCATGATTTCTAAAGGATTTCGCAGGGTGTAGGGGGAGGGGAAGGCTTCTTAGAAGGAGGCTGCTTCTGAGAAGGCGCGGGCCCTATTTGTAGATTGAGGCCCGCGCCTTCTAAGAAGGAGCCTCCTTCTATGAAGCTGCCCCCCTCCACCCCCCCTCAGCGCGCCGCCAACACAGGAGGAAGGCAGGAGCACAGGGGGGGGGGGGGGGAGATTCCCCGTCACGCACGAGCGGCAAACCAACAAATCGCGGCGCTCGACGGGCGGCTGCGGCGACGCCGACGCCGACGCCGACGCCGCCGCCGCCGCCGCCGCCGCCGACGACGACGACGACGACGACGACGACGACGACGACGACGACGACGACGACGACTAGGGTGACGAGGGTGGCGCCGTCGTCGTCGTCGTTTCTGAAGCTCGCGTACGCTTCTGGGGGACGTTGGCGACGCCGACGAGGATGGTGAGGGCGGCGACGTCATCGTCGCCGTTTCGGAGGTTCGTGGGGCGTTTTCCTTGGAGGTCTACGCCGCGTCGGCCGGGCGTGGCTCTCGCGGGGCTGGCCACGGTGGGCCCTGGGAGGGGTCTGTAGGCCGATATAGATTGGATTTTGACGCCAACGACGACGCCGCCGCCGCCGACGCCGCCGCCGACCACGACGACGACAACGGGGATGACAAAGTTACGGGCACGGCTACAGTGTTCATTTCGACTCAGAAACAACTTAGAGGCACTTCTGTTGCTTGACCTTCTCTCGGCTTCACTACCTATTTCAGGCCACGAGCCTCGGGAGATACGGCCAACGTCATTCTTACGATTTCCAGTGGGTGCTCGTCACACTCGTCTTGCGAGCTGCTGGCATGAAAACAAACACCAGAAGTACAAAGGCGAAGCCCCAGCACCAAGAGGAAGTTCAAACGAGGAGAGCGAGGAGGGGACGAGGAGGGGGGCGGGAGGAAGAGTGGGAGGCAGCCGAGACGGCCGCTTCTGATCGGCATGCGCAGGTGCGCAATAGGATGTGCAGGTTCTGCGCGAAGTCCGAAAGCCGTCATCGCCATCGCCAGCCATCATATGCGCCGACATCGTCGTCGTCTTCATCTACCACAACGTCGATCTCCCGCAGCGTCATCGCCATCGCCTGCACGATCACGTGCGTCGACATCGTCGACATCGTCATAGAGATCATCGTCGCCATCACTGTACCTGACGTCAGCGTCGCCATCGCCATCGTCGTCACCATCACCACCATCATGATCCATGTCGTGCAGGCATCGCTGTGTAGCACCCTGCAGGCACCATGCCCATGCGCAGTTTACGAGAGTGCAGCTCTCTGTGACGAGCCGATTTTCTTTCTATTCGATATAATCAGAGTGAGGGGGCCGAACGGTCATTCATTGTCCCTGGGTGCTTGGCTTAAGTGCCGATCCGTGGTGAGGATTATGCTTGTTGCGTTGTTGTTGCTGTTGGTGGTGGTGGTGGTGTTGTTGGTGTTGATGTTATTATTGTTGTTGTTGGTGGTGTTGGTGTTGTTGTTGTTGTTGGTGTTGGTGTTGGTGTTGTTGTTATTGCTGTTGTTGTTGTTGTTGCTGTTGCTGTTGCTGTTGTTGTTGTCGATGATTGTTGTTTGTTGTTTGTTGTTTGTTGTCGTCGTCCCCCCGCGACCCCGCCCGCGACCCACCCGCGACCGACCCCGCGACCCATCCGCGACCCACCCCGCGACCCGCTCGCGACCCACCCCGCGACCCACCCGCGACCCACCCGCGACCCACCCGCGACCACCCCGCGACCTGGCCCGCGGCCCACCCGCGACCCTCTTGCGACCCAACCCGCGACCCACCTACATTGTTTTAACAAAAGTCGGCGACTGCGGCGGGCTCATTGTATAGTTTGAATTTTTTGCGCCTGCGACGGGCTTCGTCAGAGCCTCGCACACTGCAGACGTCCCCGCCGCCTCCTCACTCTTATCCGCAGCTGCGGGGTGCTGCGTTAAATAGATCCAGATGGGCTCTAACGTTGAGGAAGAATCGTCGTCATTTCTTTTGTCATCTTCGTCCTCGCCATCGCCGACACCGGTCTCTTCACCGTCGCCACCATAAAAAAATCACAAGCAAGTGGTGGCAGCAATACGACCTGCTCAGGTCGAAGCAGTTAGACGACATGTTCAGGTCGGACGCGAGCAGTTTCACGACCTTCTCAGGTCAAACGAGAGCCCGCCGGGCCGCCGACCAGAAAGACGCAGGATGGAAAAACAAGCAGACACAACTAGTCGTCGATTCCTGTGCAGCTATGGGAACGTATGGGAATTGGGGGGACGACGAGAACCCAGAAATGTCACAAAATATGAGGGAGCCTGGGATGTGTGCGCGTGTGTGTCTTTATTTGTGTGTGCCCCCTTCCGCCCCCACCCCCCCGAGGTGGCGGGCGCGGCCCCCGGGCCCCCCGGCTCGTGGCAGGCGTGGCACGCGCAGGAGCCCGCGCCGGCGCCGCCGATGTGCCTGCTGCAGCACGCGGACGGCGCCGACATGCTGGCGGGGACGACCCCCTCTTGGACGAAGAGGAGGGTCTCGTTGGCGAGCGAGGGCGGGCAAGGAGGAGGAGGAGGAGGAGGCCTTCTCAGAGGGCGGCGGGGCTTCTCAGCAGCCCCCCGGGCCTTCTGAGAGGTTTCCTGTGCCCTCGGATGAGGCTTGTTACTCCTCCTCCTCCTCCTCCTCCTCCTCCTCCTCCTCCTCCTCCTCCTCCTCCTCCTCCGCCTCCGCCTCCGCCTCCGCCTCCGGCCTCCGGCCTCCGGCCTCCTCCTCCTCCGCCTCCGCCTCCGCCTCCGCCTCCGCCTCCGCCTCCTCTTCCTCCTCCTCCTCCGCCTCCGCCTCCGCCTCCTCCTCCTCCAAAAAACTGCTCAGAAGGCCGGGGGTCTTCCGAGCCTTTTAAACAGGCCCGCCCTTCTCGCCTCCCCCCAGGGCGCGCCGTCGAGGAGACCGCCCCTCTGGCTCGAATGAGAGATCCAGCAGAAGCGCAGAATGGGGGTGCAGGGGGGAGAGGCTTCTTAGAAGCACCCCTGCTTCTTCTCAAAAGGCGCGGGCCTCGTCTGTAGATGTCAGGCCGGCGCCTTCTGAGAAGCAGCCTCCTCCTACGAAGCTTCCCCCTCGCCCCCTGCCCCCCCCTCTGCGCGCCGCCGAAACAGGAAGGCAGCAGGAGCGCAGGGGTGGGCAGTTCTCCCGCCCGGCGCGAGCGGCAGAGAGGAAAGAGTCGCGGCGCCCGGTTGCCGAAAGTCTCCGGCCTCGGGTCCACGTCGGACAACGGCCCAGGAGGAGTACTCCAGATTTCGTAATGAAGGGAGGGAGGTCTCATTTCGGGGGGGGTCTCTTCCAGGCTATCTTGGAGGGCCTGGAGGGTCTGGGGACGATGTTCTGGAGGGTTCTCCCACGGGGGAGGTCTGAAATGGCTTGTCTTGGAGGGTCCAGACCCCCCTCCCTTTTATTACGAAATCTGGAGTAGCAGTTCCTGGGGAGGGGATCGAGATCCCCAGGGGCCCGCGTCACGCAAAACAGTGCGGCGTCGGAGGCGACGGGCGGCTACGGCGACGCCGCCGCCAACGCCGACGCCGACGCCAACGCCGACGCCGACGCCGACGCCGCCGAAGCCGACACCGACGCCGACGCCGACGCCGCCGCCGCCACCGACGACGACGACGACAACGAACACGCCGATGCCGACGCTCCAAGGGTGCGGTCGGGCAGGCGGCCGAACGGGGCAGCCTCTCGCGGGTGGATGGGGCGCGTCGCGGAGGGGGCTCGTGACGGAGGGAATTGGTCAGGCCGCCCCCGATCATCGGGACGATCGAAAGGGGTACTGACAAAATGGTATTACCTCCTCCCTCCCCTTACCCCTCCTCCGCCTCCGCCTCCGCCTCCCGCCTCCTCCTCCTCCTCCTCCTCCTCCTCCTCCGCCTCCTCCTCCGCCTCCGCCTCCTCTTCCTCCTCCGCCGCCTCCGCCTCTTCCTCTTCCTCTTCCTCCTCCTCCTCCTCCTCGTCCTCCTCCTCCTCCTCTTCCTCTTCCTCTTCCTCCTCCTCTGGCTCAAGGCCGAGGCCTCTGGGGGCCGAGGTCGCGCAGCACTGCCTCCCAGGTCAGGCCCTGGGAGATAGGGCTCGAGCTGGCCCCCCACTGCCGCCCGGCCACCCTCTTTTACTCCTTCCTTTCCGCCCGGCCCTATCGTCTCCGGTGCTGTGCGTTTCACTGGTACGGCTTCTGACCTGAACGAGGGGCCCATTCACGCTCGCTTCTTCGTTCCCGACGACTTGCTCGGTGAGGAGCAAGGCACTCGTCTCTCGCGTTTCTGTTCAGCTTCTGGTGTGAGGCAGGTGGATTTCGTGATCTGCCATGGAGCCCCCGCCCGGAAACTGGAGCGAGGTGGTGAGCCCGTTCGACGTGGTGGACCTGGAGACATATCATCTTCTGAGGTGCCCTTTGCCGGTGCCCATCTTCGAAGATGGAGGCGGATGGGCAGCTGGTAAAACGCCTGCGGAGGTGGGACCACCAGCGGGAGGCTGCTGGAGCTCTGGCGGCCGGCAAGCATCTCTTGCCGGCGCCGCTTCCGGCACCGGCGGCCTCGGCTACGTCCAACCCGAAGCAGGCGACGGCTCTATTCTCGGCCCCGATGACGAAGGAGAAGTTCGAAGGTGCCTGCGCGGGGCCCCCGGCATCGCCACCAAGCAGTTCCGGAGGCGAGCAGTGTGCTTCTTCCGGAGCCTCCGGCCGCTCCAAGGGCTCCTACGACTGTGATAGTGATCCCGGCTCCGCCTGCGCCTCCTTCGGCGGAAGGATCCCGGCGCCCCCGGAAGCGCAAACACAAGAAGAAGGCGGGGAAGGACGCCCCTTCGGAGGAGGCCAAGCTGGGCTTGCAGGAGTGGCCTCAGCCGCCGCCTCCGCCGGCCCGTATCGTGCGCACCCCGCCCAGGAAGAGGTAAAGGCTCGGCGAAAGAGACACAGGAAGAAGAAAGGCAACCCAACTTTGGCTGAGCCTCTCAGTGAGGCTCGCCTTTCTGCTGAGCCTCTTAGTGAGGCTCGCCTTTCGGCTGAGACTCTTCGCGAGGCTCGCTTGCATTTTTCGTGTTCGGCTGAGCCCTTGTCCAGGGTTCGCCCAGATGAGTGCTCTGATGTGGTTGGTTTGGAGCCGCTTCCTTCGGTTGAGGCGCTCCCCGATCAGGCGGTAGCACATTCGTCTTCGGGTGAGGCGGAGGGCTCGGCAGGGACACTGCAGCATTTTTCACGACCCGACGTTGCGACGGGATCTTTACAATTGGGCGCGAAGACGCCTGAGGGTTCGAGTTTTGATGTGGGCGCGAGGGCGCCCTCCAGCTCGGACTGTGCTTTGCTCCGCCGTTTTTCTGATGGCGTTGAGGTGATAGAAGTTCTGCGCGCAAAGCCGTGGCTGGTGGAACCCTATTTTGAGTGCGGCGTCTCGGTTGGTCCTGGCGGAGGTTTCCACCCTCATGCCAGCTGCATCAGCCTTGCAGGCGCCCAGTTCTAGCCGGTAGTCTCAGTCATGCAGTTGTTCACGTTAGCTCCTGCACCCAATTTTCTTGCTACCATGTTTTAACCCGCCTCGGAGTTTGGCATGGCATCGCACACAGTGAAAAAAACTTCCTCCTCCTCTTCCTCCGACTCCGACTCCGACTCCGGCCTCCTCTTCTTCCTTCTCTTCCGCCTCCGCCTCGTGTTCCTTATCCTCTTCGTCTTTCTCCTCCTCACCAGCATCATCAGCAGCATCAGCCTCAACAGCATCATCATCAGCAGTATCAGCATCATCATCATCAACATCATCATAAGTTCCATCGCGGCCGTCATCATCACCATCATCAGCAGCATTAGCATCAGCATTATCATCTGCAGCAGCATCATCAACAGCAGCATCAGCATAAGCAGCATGAGCATCATCATCAGCATCCGCATCAACATCCGCATCAGCAGCAGCATCATCATTATCAGCAGTATCAGTATCATCATCAGCAGCATCAGCATCAGCATCATCATCATCCTCGTCCTCATCCTCCTTCGCCTCCTCATATTCCTCCTCATCCTCCTCATCATCCTCATCCTCATCCTCATCCTTGTGTGACGCTGCGCGAACTTAGGGCCTACGCCTGTAGCGGTAGTCTTCCTCCTCCTCTTCTCTTCCTCCTCCTCCTCCTCCTCCTCTTCCGTTTCCGCCTCCACCTCCTCCTCCTCCTCCTCCTCCTCCTCCTCCCTTTCCTCTTCCTCCTCGTCTTCCTCCTCCTCCTCCTCGTCCTCCTCCTCTTGCTCTTCCTCCTCCTCATCCGCCTCCACATCCTCCTTCTCATGATGTTCCTCCTTCTCCTCATCCGCCTCCTCCTCTTCTTCCACTTCCTCTTCCTCCTCCTCCAACTTTTCCTCCTCCCACTCCTCCTCCCATTCCTCCTCCCATTCCTCCTCCTCCTCCTCCTCCTCCTCCTCCTCCTCCTCCCCTCGTCCTCCTCCTCCTTCTGCTGGGCACGAAGATAGAAAGATTGACAGCAGTGCCTGTCCATGTTGAGCAGGACGCGTTGCTGGGGCCGCCGCGGGCCTTGCTCATCTGAGACGGAAGGCTGCCTGCACAGCAGAGGCCGCCGCAGGCTCTGTCCGTACCCACTTCGGGCGTCCAGCGGCAAGCACCAATGCTTGGAGGAGGCCCGCACGGACTTTTCGGGGCCGGCGCCGGGCCCCTGGCAGCGCCTCCCGCACCGACCTCTTCGGCGCGCCCCGCGCGCCGAGGAGGTCGGTGCAGCGCCGAGCCGAGCCGTCCGAGCGGACGTTCGAAAGCTCCTGTTCCGTTGTGCCGTCGACTGTTTCTCTTCGTCTGTTTCCAAGTATGCTTCTAGCTCCTATGATGTTTCCCTTGCCGGGCCAGGTCACGGCGGGGCGGTTTTGCCCCACCTCGGACCTTTTTTGGGGGGCCTGCGCCCGTGGGCCGGCTGGCCCCGAGGGAGTGTGCCAGGTCTGGCTTGTGCGAGGGGGCTCGGGAGCCCCAGAAGGTCCCGAAGCAGCTTGTCGGCAAGGGCTCCGTGCACTTCTCTTAGCGCTCGGTGAGGGATGCCCAGCCTCGAAGTCGTTAGGCTTTCCTGCCGCAAGTGTGTCAAGAGGATTCGCCTCCTCCCCCATCTGCCCGCAATTCCTTGCTGTGCAAGAGCAGCTTGCATGCGTCGCATGACTCGGTATCCTTCCCCGATCAAAGCGTAGAGGCATCGAAGGCAGGATATGATGGTATTATCCGTAAGGGTGTCGCTCCCATGCCGCCAGCCCCCTCTCTTAGAATGGGACTTGTCAGAGCTGGGTTGGGATGTCTGGACGCTGACGTGAAGCAATGTCGGGACTTCACGCGAGGGCCAATATCAACTTACAAGGGTTTGTAGCTTCGGTGGCGCGAGTTACGATTTCATTTCCGATGGTTCATGGCTTCGGGGACGCGAACATTGCATACTTTAAAAGGGTGTACGGCCTCGAGGGCGCAAATACTGTAGAATTTACCAGGGTTGAT